GGGTGGGGCTCTCAGGGAGGGGCAGGAACAGAGTTCAAAGCCATGGTTCACGTCATGCAGTATCCACGGTGGGCACCAAGGGGGGACAGGGCGGACACCACACCCACCTGCCCTGGGCAGGAGGGGGGAATGCTGCCCACCTGGGGATGGGAGGTGGGGTTGTTGCAGCTCCAAAACTGGGGGGAGGGGCCGCCAGGCAGGAAGCTGGCGTAGACTGGTGCCCTGTGGACTCGCTCAGCAGTGCCCCCTCACCCAGCCAGGCCTTATAGGACTCTTTGTATATATTAATTTCTTTTTTCTTTTTTTAAAAAACTTTTTGACTTTTTCTTTAGAAAAAGGCTGGGTCTGGGCCCTCCGGCTGGCATCCGCCACCCCTCGTGCCCGCCCAGAGGCGGGGTATGGCTTTGAGGGGAGCAGAAGCCCCTGGTGCCCATTTGCCAAGGGATGGGGAAGGAGGGAGGAAGGGAGAGGAGCCCTGCTGGGCCCACCAACCCACAGGGCAAACATTCCACTTGCGCAGAGGGAAGGGGGCGGCCCAGTCCCCTCTCAGGCTCCCCCGCCCCCTCCCACTGTGGGGCATTAAGGATGAGGAGGGAGCAGAGGAGCTCCGAGAGGCAGGTGGGCAAGCACCACCCCAGGGGTCCTGGTGAGCCAGAGCCAGGCCTAGGTGAGAGTGATGTAGGCAGAGGCCTTCTCTTTCAGGTGCCGAAGACAGAGGTGACAACTCCAGCTCCCTGTGGGGGCGGCCAGAGGACAGGGAGTTAGGTCCAGGTCCAGGGAGGGCTGTTCCAGCCCACACACCCCAGTGTCATGCCCACTTCTTTCTCACCTTCTGGGGGCTCCGCCATGGGGGGGCTCAGGCAGTACATGTGGTAACCCCGATCGCAGTCGTCACAAAACAGCAGCTGGTCCTGGGGGGTGAGACCCACCCAGCTGGCACCCTGGGGGCACGGGCACCAGAGACCGGGGTGGGGGGCTGGGGCAGGGGCTAGTTAAAGGGGCTGGGGGAGGTGGGCCCTTCTGAAAGAAAGGGCTCCCAGAGGTCTCCGCGCCATGGAATCTTTGCAAAATCCTGCTTGGCTGAGCAAAACATCCCTGGGCACTGTCAGTTTGCAATCTGTAGTGTGGGCTCTATCAGATTTTGTGGAACACTTAAAATGACCCTGAGACAGTCTGATACCAGCTCCAAAAACAAGGCATATGGGTTCAGTTCCCAGCTGGACCGTTTCCCTAGCTGGCTGACCTTGGGCAAGTCACTTCCCCTCTCTGTGAAGTGGGAACACAAGCACCTACCTCAGGGTGGTTGGGAGGAGTCAGAGAGATGAAGAGTATTAAGTGCCGGGCTCAATGAATGGCCACTAACAATAATAATAATACAGGTTACTAGTGGTCACCAGGGAGGGGGCTCCAGGGAAAGGCTGGCAAAGGCAGAGGTGCCAGGTGGGGAGGCCCACTGGGGGCAAGAGGGTTATGTCCTGGGGGAGGCGAGGGCAGGACACTCACATCATTCTCTGAGGTGCCACACAGGCTGCAGGACTTGCACTCGATGCACTGCCAGCGGTAGGTCCGCACAGCTGCCGTCATATTCACCGTGAACTGTAAACACGAGGGGTGTCCTGGGGGCCAAGGGGCAGGGATGCTGTTAGGGGTCATCATGCCCCTGGTAACTACTGACCTGGGGGAAGAGGTGACTCAGCCCTTACCCCTGGCTCATAAGGCCAATGAGCTTCTGTGGTCTACAGTCTGACCCCACCCTGCCCAGGGTACCCAGCAACCTACTGCAAGGAGCGCTACTGTAGCCACTGGTCTCCTACCCAGCCACCATGGCAACCACACTCCGCTCCCCAGAACACCATGGCAACCGCATTCCATTACCCACAGTGCTGTGGCAACCACTTCCTGCCACCCACAACACTGGGCAGCCACATTCTGTTAACCACCGTGCGGAGGTAACCACATAATGTGGCAACCACATTCTCCCAGCCACAATGCCATGGTAACCACTGTTCACAGCGGGGTTGGGGGGGTACCCTGGGGTTCCCTGCAACCCAAGCTCATTACACAGGATGCCCCAGCAACCAAACTGTTAACAGCAATACAATGCAATGCCAATCTGCCAGTCCCTCCACTCTCCCTCCCCCTGAGTGCCACAACTACGTTCTACTACACCAATTGCCATGACAACCATATTACACTACCCATAATACCATGACAGCCACAATTCATTAACCACTGGGCTGAGGCAACCACTGTCTGTTACCCACAAGTCCACCATGGGAAACCACATCTATTAACCACAAGTCCATGGCAAGCGCCCTCTTATCCACATACCCAGGCAGTGGCAATCCATTACTATCACAGCCCACCACCCACAATGCCTTGGCAGCCAGCTTTCACCACTCCCACCAGGATAGCACGTTACTACGTGCAGTGCCAAGACAACCACATCCCGTTATTCCCAGAGCCTCCCTGACCCCACTCAGTTTCCCAAAATCCTCAGTAGTTGAGTCAGCCCCATCCACTCCTGTTCTCCACTGCTGCAAGTTGCCATGGGACACTCTGGGTCTGTCCCCCACTGTCCTCCTCTGCCTCCCATCCTCCAGATCTGGACTCCTGGAGTCCTCTCCACCCTCTCCCCCAGAAACCTCAGGTGGGGGTGTCACCTGATCGCCCACAGTCAGCACAGGAGATGAGGTCCTCGGGACACCCTGTCTTCTTGGAGCCACCCAGGCAGAAGTCACAGTAGCCGTTGGGGATGACAGTGCCGTCAGGCCCCTTCTTGGCTGAAAGACAGTAGGTGGGGTTGGTGTGGGCAGGCAGGGGCCCCCAGTCAAAGGCTGCTGCAGAAGTAAGGGCAGAGGGAGGCGTCCCTACCTGTGTGTTTCCTCTGTGCCTCAGGAACCCAGGCCAATTCTTTGTAAAACTCTGGGGGTGGAGGGGACAGAGAGAGACTCTCACCATAGGCAAGGCTCCACCCTGCCCCCAGCCTCAGCCCCAGGGATGGACCCCTAGGTCCAGGCTTGGGGGAAGTAGGAAGAGAGAGTAACTACCCCAAGCTGTGACTGGTAGCAAAAGGGACTTGGGGGACCCAAATAATTCTCATCAGGATCCCCCCATTTCTTTGTTGTCAAGTGACATGTCCTCTTTATTAGGTAAAAACTTGGCAAATACAGCTGCAGGAAGAGCCCCCTGCTTCCCACACAACACACTTCTATCAGATAGCCACCCCCAACTAGAGGAAAATTGGGTAGATACTACTGGCCAAGATCTGGTATGGAAACATTCAGAAGGAAAATGCTGAACACAGATGCCTGGGTGTGCAGCGGGGAGAGAAGAAAGAGACTGTCCTCTCCCACCAAGGGATGGGTGGGAAGATGGTTTCTCCACCGACAGAACCTCCCTCCAGGCCCTCCCCCATCCCTCAGCTGTCAGGGTTGGCATGGGATTGGCATGGGTGGTCACCAAGGGCTCCTAGGCCACAGACCCTGCCCCTCCACCAAAGCTTAGCAGAGAAGGGAGAAAGGGAGGCAGGGACAGAGGGGAGTCATCTATCAGCCCCCCTCCCCAAGCTCTAATTGAAACAATAAATCAGACCCAGAAATATTACAGCCGGGAGAGAGGGAGAGAGATGGTTGGTTGCCATGGCAACCCCAGAGCCAGCTTCCCCATGGTCTGTGGGGGGAGGGGACCGCTGAGCTGGAGATTTTCCAGAAATGTCTAACGTGCCCCCTCCCTCCCAGGTTCCTAGCCCCCATTCCCAGGGCCCCTCACCAGCCCACAGCCCGCCCGCCTGCTCACGTTTATGGTTGTTTTTCCGGTGGAAGGGCAGGGCGTGGCGCTCGGTGTTCTCCTCCCCCTCCTCCTCAGCCAGGTGGGTATGGGTGTAGTGGTAGCTGAGCCCCGGCCGGTTCTTATACCGTTTCCCACAGACTGGAGAGCAGAGCGAGCAGGGAGGGCGGTCAGCCCTCCCAGCCAGTGCCACCTCCATTCTGGCCTCCAGGATCACACCTCCCCCTCTGCCAGAGATCTGAGCATCTTCCCACCAGGGTCCTGAACAGGAGGGGGGGCCAGGAGTGGGCAGGTCACTGGGCCCCACTGTCTCTTTCCCTCTCTTTAGAAGGACTCACTATCACAGACATACGGCTTGTCTCGGTCCTCCAGGGAAGCGGTGTCCTGGCGTTTCCGGAGACCCCCGATGCCATATGCCTGGGGGAAGAGTCAGGAGTGAGGGGTCAAGAAAGGGAGGCAACTGAAAGAGTTTCATCATTTGGGCCTGAAGGTTGAATCTCAGCTCCACCACTTCCTAACAGCAGGCCTTAAGTAATTCAGCTTCTCTGAGGTTGAACTCAGTTTCCTCCATATCTGTAGAGCAGATATGAAGACAAGTCTAGCCCACCTTACAGTCTCTGGTTTGCAGATGGTTTAATATGGCTGAGCCTCAGCCTCCTCATCTGTGAAATAGGTATAAGATCCCCCCAGCTGTTCTGAGGATTAAATGAGGCCAAATTGGGGCAGGTCTGATCACTCTGCCTACTTAGTAAATGGGGCCTGCTTTGAGGGAAGGGGATGGGGAGATACCTTTCCTTTGGCCCTGTTTTTCCTCCTGGGAATGTCATCCTCCAAGTCTTCCACCTCGAGATCATGTGGAAACTCCAGCAGCTGCTGTTTCTGGGCACCAGGAGAAGGGATATTGGGGTCAAGAAAGTGGGGAGCACTGTCCTGCTTTGGGGGGGTTCAGTGTGGAGCTGGAGATTGGAGTAGCAGGGCAAGTCAGGAGGTCTTCCAAAGAGATGAGGTGTGCAGGACGAAGACTTAAGATGCCAGAAGGCCCTAGGGAGCCAGGGGAGGTTTCAGAGCAGGAACGGGATGTGCCAGGGCAGGAGGCAGGGGTCAGAGAGCGGAAGCCCCTGGGGGTGGCCCTACCTGGCAGTCCATAATGGCCTCCTCCTCCTTCAACTCAATCTTCTTCTCCCCTGTCTCAGCACACAGGAGAGCCTCTAGGACTGGCCCTTCAGGGAGGCCACCCTCCTTCTTCAGGGGTGCTTCACAGTCTGGAGACAAGGCCATGGGGGGGTCAAGTGGGGAAGTTGTCCCTGGAGGACTCCTCAAACTGCCCAGGTGGGGGAACCATGCTCACTGAGGGAGGGAAGAGGCTTTCCCACTCTCAACCAGCAGCAAAGATTCAACTACATACTGAGAAGGGTACTCAGACCCTGGGGAAGACACAGCTAGACCCTATTATATGCCTGGACACACATGGGGGAGTCACAGATACACCTAGAGAATCACTCAGATGGATACACATGGACAATACAGACATCCCTCTGAGGCAGGCAGACACACCCAGGAAGACACAGCCAGGTAGAGACCTGGACCCACACAGGCCCCTGGATACACCTGGACAGGGAAGAGAAACAGCCAGTGACTCTCACAGTAATGGACACATTTAAGTGAAGGCCAGACACTCTAGTAGACCAACACACATGGGCAGAAACCTACCTAATACACCAGATGCTAAGGGAAGGGAGCCTCCCAGACATTCCGAGCATCTGGGCGCTTAACAGAAGAGGCAGCCAGACACCCTGATACACCACACACACACATACACACATAGAAATAAACCTAATACACTTGGAAACACCTGGAAGGAGATTCAGACCCTTAGATACACTCCACTACAAATGGCAAGAGTTACAATCAGACACTCTGACGCATCCAGACATACTCAGGCACCCACAGGAAGAAACAGAGCCAGACACTCTGATACATCCCAGCTCACAGGGAAGATATATAAAGGCTGGATATACCTAGACACACATAACAGACACCACTCTGCTCTCAAATACACCTGGGCCCACGGAGAAGATGCCATCCAAAGCTCAGTCACTCAGGGAAAACTGAGAATCACTGGACTATACCCAGGCACACTCGGAGACACACAGCCAGCCGCTCAGACGCTGGCTAGGAGGGAGATAAGGTGAAGGCGCAGACACACACTGGCATGCCACACACTTGTCGTTGCTGGAGGAGTGCATGGAGGCCACCCCGGGCACAGGCAGTTCCACCCACCGATCTTGTACTCGCAGGGCCGGAGTCTGGGGTCCTCCAGGATGTTGAGTCTCCGTTTCTTTCTCCAACAGCGGGCGGGGTACGTGTAGATCTGTCCTGGAGCCAAACCTAGAGTGAAATGGGCTGTAAGACCTTGGCTTCCATGCCACAGCCCCGCCCCACCCCGCCCCCGC